GGTGGGGGCGGGGGCGGGGGCAGAGCAGTTAATCCATGTTTGTTCGTGTTTTTTCTTACAAATTTAAACTTAGGTGTGTATTTCTTAAACTAATTTAACTATTTTCTGTTTAGGATATTAGTTCGGATTCAAATGCAGAAAAACTTGCTTTGAAATACTGTCCACAAGTTGTTTTAAGTAATCAGTCATTATTTACTTTACTGAATAATCATGGACTAAACTACAAGGAACAATGGGAAATTCCAGTTTGCATTAAAATGATTCCTGTTGCAGGTATAGTATGTTTTTGTTAGAAAAAGTACATTTTTGTCCATGAAGACCTATTTTCTCATAATCTGTTTCAAGCATACAGAAGAACAGGAGATTAGAAAATCCAGTAAACCCAACTGTGGGAAGGTAGAAGGCAGTCTGGTTTAGTTTGCACATCAGTACAATAGTTTAATTTTGCTTTTATTTTAAAACAAAAAAGATAAGGTTAATTAAATTATAATTGTAATTATAGGCTCAGATTTTTACCTTTTCTGAAGAAGAGGAATTCTAGATGCAGCTATAAGAAAATAGTTTCTCTTAAGTGCTTCCATGTTTTTAATTTAAGTAATCAAACAAATAGTAAAATTTAACTTACTTAGTTGACACATCTTAAAGAGCAAAAATCTGAAGTTAATAGTTTCAGCTGTCATCTGGTAAGGAGTCAGAGACTTTTGTGTTATAAAGAAAGATATTTATTTAATCAAACATTTTTAAAAAATAATTTTTAAAAATCCATTGCTATAGTTTGTCCTCTGCTTTCACAGAGAAAAGCTGATAGCAAGGTCATTTCATAGTTTTCTACACCTTGTTCCACCTTGTTACTGAGAATAGTAACAGCCTCTAGAGGTATCACCATTAACATTGACTTTGGACGTACAGCTATTTTCCACTTGGGGGAAAAAAAAGAAACCAAAAACATTAAATGTCCTTTTGCTTTTCAAAACTGTAAGCTCTGCTCCTTGGAAAGAAACCAACTGCATGAAGCTCTTAAAATTATCAAGTGAACTGATTTCAATAAGCTAAGAAATAAATTCTGAAGTTTTATGAAAAACAAAGAGCAAACATTTTTATGGAATTAAAAGGACCTATTGACATCATAGAATAATGAATAAATAATGAATGTCCGTGGAGATCACTTTTCCCAATTGCAACAAAAAATGTTTTAAATAAACTGATTAACTCATCTGAATGCTATACTTTAGTTATCAAGCACTCCATCGGTAATCTGAATATAGATTTCCTCTCGTTAACCTTTTTGATTTTTTTTTTAAATACGGTAGGGTTTTTTCATTATGAATATTTATAATGGTGGTTGTCTTAGAATGTCCATATTGTGTGCATAGCAGACTTCTGAATAGTAGTAAATAAGCTGTCAAATATCCACAAATCTTACAAATTTTGCACTTGCTTACATGAAATTAAATTACTTTAACGATAGCCTGACTCAGTTCATATCAGCTTTACACTTTTTAAACTTAATTTTTAGATCCAAAGTTAACACCTAAAGGGCATTCAGAATGTTAACAATATATAGTGTTTCTTAAAGGGCTCCTCCTCTCCTTCCTTTTCCATCTTCCCTGTAACCCACCTCTTGCATTAATTAGATTTTTTTCACAGATTCACAGATATTTATTTTTTTTTTTCCTAAGGCATATTCCATGTGCCTTTGCTTACTGTATAATATTGGGCAGGGTATCGCTGTTATTTTTGGATGAGTCTGTGAGTGATTCATATGTAAGCATTTTAAGGTGTAAAAAAAGAGTGGGGCGCAGACCCTGGACACAGGGAAGAAATATAGACTGCAGCCATCAGTTTTGGGTGATGATAATTTATAAAGAAATTATAAAAATTTCAGGTTCATCAAAGGAAGAAAATAAAATCTTTTTGAAAAGCAGAATACATTTGATGATAGAATGCAGTATAAGCAATGATGAATCCTAAATTATTTTACAAATTCACTATTTAGAACTGCATTTAAAATATTATTACTGTTAATCTAGCATGTAGGATCCTGCTGCTGCAGGATCCTAATAATTCACACTGTATCTGAACATAGTTTTATTTTCTGTTGTTAATGAATGAGAGGATATTTTTTATTTCTTCTAGTGTGAATGTGGAATGGATTTGACCATAGTTGAAAGGTTTCTTACTTAAATTATACCAGAATCTTTTTTCATTTCATTTAGTATGTACTCAGTCTCTTTCCATTCTTGAAAAGGTAGCAAACCAACTAAAGTGGTTTATGTTGATTCACCTCTGCTGAGAAAGGAAATGACAGTAAGAGAGAGGAACCAAATCTTCCATGAAATTCCAATGGACTTCCTAGCAACTAAGAAGTCTTATGTTTCCATTTCTCACGTATTGATGGACAAACCAGCTGAGGACCATTTGTTTCAGTGGGATGTATGTAGCTTTACTTCTTCTTAAAAACAAACTAAACCAAAAACCTATGTTATAATTCCTAAATTACTTGTTCCATGATAATGAAGGAGAATTTAGGTTTTCTGTTGTTAGTTTTTCTACTGCTGAGTTACAGACCCTATGTTTTAAATTGTCTGTCTAGTTCCTTTAATTGCTTCTATTACATTGGCATCTCAGCATTAATGTTTACTTCATTAAAATGTATTTTGATCAGCTTATTTAAGTGGCAAAAGTTCTATGAACTTCTCTTTTGAAAGGCCTTTTAGCTCCTAAGATTTAAGATATTCCACATTAAACACAGGAATATTTTCTTTCAGTTACTGCCCCTCTCTCCCAACAGTCAAAATATGGATAGTAGAACACTTTTCATGTTTTCAATTTGACAGTGTTTGTGATTAAAACATTCTATTTCTTGGTCTGGTTTACTTATTTATTTTTAATGTTATTATTTTTTCTCCTCTGTGTTAAGATGCCTTCTGATACATACCAGTACAGGAAGATTCCTCTTCCAGATGACACAGGGATGGACTTTGATGATGATGTTACAGAACTGGAAACTTTTGGAGCAACTGTTAAGATCTCAAGAACTTCTAAAGTGGAAAGTACTTTTCCGACAGTTAGTAACACTGCTAAAGTTTTATCACATGACCTAAAAATAGTGAAAAAAAATATATCCACCATAAACAGTGGAGATGAAGAAGGGAAAGTCACCATTTCTGAGCAAGGAGTTTTGGCATGTGCCAGCGTACAGCTTCCATCATCAGATGGCATCCTGTGCTTCAGCCCTGAAGAAGATTCATCTCATAAAAACTTGAATTTGGAGGAAGTAGGACTGAACAAAGCACGTCATGTCATGACCAAAGTATTGGACAATGAAACAAAATTAAATACTCTGTCTAATGCTGTTAGTCACAAGAAAGAGTCTGGTGCTGCAGAAAAAAATGAGACTTATGCTTCTTTATGCAGTAGTGACACGGATGAAGAGCGTTTGATAATTGATACAGAATGTAAAAACACCAGTTGTTGCAAAACACCTATACCAGACACTGTTTCTCATACCTCAACAGAGACTGCCAAATCACCTTCCCCCCCACCGATTCCATTAGCAAGCATGACTGATTGCTCAGGTATCATGGATCAGGGGAAAAATGCCTCCAGAAAGCCTACAAGAAAGTTGTCCAAAGAATTTGATCCTGTGGGACAGATTTTGAAAATGCAAACTGAACTTCTCAAGTCACCTTCCCAAAAAGCTCATGAGCAGCCAGTGGTGAGCTGTGATAATTCTAATGCTGCGCCAGCCCACGTGCCTCAATCTCCAAAACCATTGGTGACCTCCAGCACAGAAACTGCGCCAGCCCCTGCCTCAAATCCCAGCGGCTCATCTAGAAATACCTGGACTTGGCTTTTTCAGGGAGTGCCAAAGCGTAAGTGATTGTGTGCATTGTATAAGGAGTAAAACTTCAAATTTACGGTAAAATTTAACAGAAAAACATTTTAACTCCTTCATCTGAAGAACATCCTAATAGTACCTCTGTTATATTTATTTAGAGATGTGACTTAATTTTTTATTTTTTAACAATACTTTCTCTGTGTGAGAATTACTGTCTTGCACACATAAGGGAGCATTTTAGGAGCTGTTTGTCTATAGAGGTGAATGCAAAATGATGTTTACTTTAGAGAAACAAAAAGTTGTTATATAAGCAAGGAAAATAAATCATTTGGTAGTGAAATGAGTTTTCCTCAGAAATTCAAATATTTGTGTAGTCTGGTCTGCAGAAATAGTTTCTTGTCAGTTAAAAATTGAATTATTTTACATTTTCTGTAGGAGAAAAGTGTAGTCAAATTATGCAATTAAAACTTGAAAGAAAACTTGAAATTTGGGTGGCTAAGTTTTGAGATGTCTAGTTCAGTTGCTGTTTAGCTCCTAGCAATCTGTTCCAGAAGACTAATGAGTACTCAGTACAAGCCACCTCTCCCAAGTTTTCATGCATTTAGCTGGAAATTGAATGTTACCCAGACTTCAGCCAAGAACTAAAAGTCTTGAAGATCCTAGGGACCATGAACTTTGAAGTATTACTCACATGTCCAAGTTGCTTTCGAGTTCAGTAAAACTGAAGTTAGAAGCACTTTACTGTGTTGGTAAATTAACAGGTAACCAGACAGGTTGCATCAGAACAGTTACTGTTTTTCTCAGATGTTTTATTCCAATGAATCAGTGCTTTTTGGTGGGAAAACCTGTTTCACTGGTATTTTCTGACTAGCTGTGCCTTTGATCATATAGTAATTTATCTGAATTAATTACTTAATCTGTAATGGAAACAGTTAACACAGCTAATTCTGTTTTGTTGAAATTGTGTTATCACTTCCAACGTTTTTAACAACTTAACTGTATTTAGGCTATGTCTCCTCCCTCAGTGTGAAAGGTTGAGCAGCGTGGTACCCTTTCTGTTTCTTCTTCTCTTAAAAAGCAAGAGTGTGGAATTCAGGTGTTTGATAATAGAATTATAAATTTATTTATTTTAAATAAAGGTAGGGAAACTTGCTAAGATGCTGAAGTGACTGTGAAAGAATAGAAAGCATAATTCTACAAATTTAAAGTTCTATAGCAAGCTGATAAACCTCTATGCATGTCTTTTTTTGCAGAAAGCCCCAACTAAGTTAAATATGTTACTACCTGAAAATTATTTCCGGTCAGTTTTATGATAATATCTCACACTGTATACATTTATTCAAAGATGCACATAAACTCTAAATTTAGTGTTTAATGTATTCATAGCACTACAGCAACACATTTGTAGGTGTATTTTTGACACATATTTCCACATACCTGCAGGACAAAAAACAGAACTAGATAAATTTTCAATAAATAAACAAGTTGGAGTTTATTCTTCTTTGTTTTAAATGTTTTGTTAAAATATCTCTTAAGGGATGTAGGGATGTTTGTTAACCTACCTCAAATCTGCACTTGGAGATCTAGTAAGCATTTCTTTTGAATATGCTAGTATTGAAGCAAACTCAAGTTGGAACAGAGGCTTATGCTACCATACAAACCTGAGGTTTGAGTTATTTCAGAAACTGATAAATAGATGGTGGCTCTCAGGAGGCATTCATTGTAAATAAAATTTTTGTCTCCTCTGTGCTGAGTAACTGTGGCTTAAAAACAGCCTTTGAACTTCATTTGTACAATAGAGACTCGCAGCTCTGTATAAGAAATCTAATGCTTAGGATAGAATATTTGGGAATATTTGAAAATATACTCCTAAAAAGTTACAGCAGACATTTTCATTTTCATCCCAAAATCTTAGGAAATGAAGCACATCCTATTTAAAAAATAAATAAATAAATAAAATTAAGCCTGCTGCAAGAGAAGAAGGCTAATTAGCTTAATGGTAAAGAATGTGCACGCATGTCATTTTCTGGTTTATTTATTTTCTATAGGAAAGCTGCCAGATGAACTTCAGATACTTGAAGAAGACCCTTCAGAGTATAAAGCACCTCAGGATGGCAACCTTGTGTATAAGCTATTCAGTTTGAATGATCTGTTGTTACTTGTGCGTTGCAGTGTGCAAAAAGTGAAGTCATCGCCACAATATCATAAGAAGAAAAAAGCTCAAAAGGTCCAGATTTTGCTGTTAGATGTTCTGTTTTGGTTTTTTAAACAGTTGTGCTCAACTAGTATCTCTGGGATTCCCAGTCCTTCATAGTATTTGTGTTTTCACTCAGACGATTAGTACATTTAATTGTATCTCTGCAGTGTGTGTTGTCTTTGTAAATATTTGCTGTAGGAGGAGAAGGAAGAATAACTTGTGATTTCTTTAAACCTACTTGATGAAAAGATAAGTAAGTGTGATTCTGCATTCTTTACTACAACTGCATTACAGTAATATGCATGGGTAATTATACTCATGTAAACTAATGTTAGTTTGAACTATTCTTAAAAGTTAATGCAGTAATTAGGTTTTCGGCCCAAGGCTCTGAGAATCTTCATGATCATAAATACTTTCAAGCAGGATTCAGCCTTGCTATTATGCCTGATTTAAGCAGAGAAATATGAGATAGAATGAACAACAGAGAACTCATTTAAAGATGAAAAAAGATCCTATTCATTCTGCTTGAAAAGGCTATGGTATACATCTTCGCAAATCATTGGTTTTAAGGAATAAAATACTTTAAATGCAAGTGTAATCCAAATATTCCTTGTAACATCATGAGAACGAAAGCTTATGCTGGAATCCTCAGTCATTTATTATTTTGTCAAGAGTCCTCTGAATCATTCAACAAGTTTGATGTGGTATCTCCCTCCCCAGAATACCAGAATTATGGTAGGCAGGCATTTTGTGAGGTGTTTGTTTTGTTGAAATGGAAATAGATCTTTAATTCTGATTACTTGCTAAGATTCCATGCTCAAAATCTTATTTTGAAGAAATACCATCTCGTTGCTGTTCATCTGCTGCTTATAAATGCCTGTGAATAGGTGCTTAGTTTGTAAATCAGAAACTGAGCACTGCTGTTTATTTTTTTAAATTGCTGTTGAAATTTAAACTGATTTGTCAGTGAAAAGAGGCTTATATATTCTCTGTTAATGTTAACAAAGAAAAGTTAACCTCTGATTTCAAATGAGAGTCCAAACAGTAGGCTCTAATTTCAAGTGAGATTCTAACAAGGGGAATAAATGGTAGGATTCCACTAACAAATCAGAAATGTAATGTCTCTTTTCTTAAATTCCTGCAGAGGGCAGTAGAGCACAGAAGTACTAACTTCAGTTAGTTTAGTTGGCATGGGAAAATTAGCAGCAAAACTTTATTATTTGTAAAAGCTTGCCTAGGCGCTTTTTTTGTGCATTTTACCTTCCTCTGTGTAGAGTCTGCCGTCCGAAGTTTGTAATGTGGGTTTTGTGGAATGTGAGTCATCACACAAAATCTGTGAAATGTTTTTCTTGCTTGAGCTGTAGTGAAATACTGTGATGATTATCACTTGCAAAATGTAGTTCAGTTGTGGACATCTTTTTGGACAGTGAGTGGTGATTTTTCTTGTTTCTTCACTTTTACAGCTTATTCCAATATTTCTGTTGCCAAAACTAGAATACCAAGCCTATTACGGTGTTGAAGCTCTTACAGAAAGTGAAGTATGTCAGTTGTGGACAGAGAGCATGTTGCATTCTGAATGCTTATTTTATATTGGTAAGTTAGTGTGGTGATTTTTGCTTAAGAAACATGTACATCTGAATTTTCATATAATAACAGAAAAGTTAAGGCTGTATTCCGTGTGTCCATTCTTATTTTAACTTTCTAATTTTGGTTTTCTCTTTTATCACTTTGTACTCACTTTTATAAGCACTTTGTCTAAAATTTCTGCTGGATGGTGAATGAGGGTATTTCAACTTTAGTTTTAGATTAATATCATCCAGTAATCTTTGTTTTCAAGAACTGCATTTATTTGTCTTTCGAAGACAAACGTATCTCTAAGTGTGAATTTAGTTCTCTGAAATTACTCATCTTCATGACTTAAAGTAACTTTGTTTTTTTGGGGGGAGGTGTTTGGGGTGGTTTTTTGTTTGTTTCTTTAATGAGTCATATACAACATGAATTACTGCAGGATTGGTAAAAGTATTTCTTGATGAAATATGACCTATAAATATATCTTACTGTTTTGTGAAATAATTTTAATAACACTTGTTATTACATAGCAAAGTAGAAGACAAAAAAGACCATCAAGTATGTGACTCAGAGGATACTGATTCCTTGGCCTTTGAACTTGCAGTATGGGAAAAGGTCAAGTGTCTTGTTTTTTTCTGAAAACGGGCAATAATCTTCATCTTTCTACACTGATAACATGTAGATAGATAAGATACAAGAGAATGAGGAAAACCAAGCAAGACAGGGCTAGACCAAGTTCTGTCATTCAGAAATAAGAGAAATTACTTGCTTTTAAAGCAGTGTACATATGTCTCATATCTGAGGTACTGGACATAATTTTCTGACTTTGCAGAATGAAATTTCTAACAAGAACAACTAAATTACATAGCATAATCTTATTGAAAACTTCTTTCCATAGCTGTGATATTCCTCGGGAGTTCTGAACACTGGATGATCTTAGTTAAACAAACCCATTTTCCAGGTTTTCCATTGTCCATATCTAACTGATCCATGAAATTCGATTTCCTAATACATGATATGACTTGAAACATTCCTGTCAAAGGGATGATCTTGGTACTCCTTGTCCTGTATCATGCAGGAGATGGAAACAGGAGATAATATCACAGAGTCTGTGAATGAGAAGTAACACACATTCAGTGAGAACGAAGCAGGAAACTACAGATCTCATGTATAAGAGATGACAGCTGTTATTCAGAGCAGAGAAAATAAAATGACAATAAAGCAGGGATAAGAAGCAGGGAAATGTTAGCAAAAGCATATCTTACTTGTAAAAGCAGTTTATCCACAAATCACAGAAACCAGGCACACAAGGAATGCAGCATTATAAGGAGGGTTTCACTAACAAATGCCTTGTAGAAAATGCTGTATTCATGTTTATACAATGACATTTTAAACGTCAGGAAAATTTTGAAGTTAGGATACATATGTTCTGTAGAGAAATGAAAATGATATGTATAAAGAATGTGGACAGATTAACAATGTGGATGTTTAACAACACTTTTAATATACGGAAAACTTTCTGATACCAATTATCTTGTCATTAATAAGGTTTTTAAAAGGAAAAATATGCAACAAAATAGTTAGTCAAAATGCATTTTAGAATGTTTGGCACTTGCTGTGGAGTGAGGATAATCATGTTTGTACAGTGAATGAATGTTCTGTAGTGGTGACTGCCTCACTTTTTTGTTCTAGAAAAAATTCTCTGTTTTTCTGGTTGTTATGGCAGCAGTTGTGGCCTGTGGTTGCCTAACCTTTCCACTTGTGCACTGAATTACACTTTTGCTGTTGATAGCTCGTATCAGGGCAGTAGTTTAGAAATGCTGAGTTCTCTCTTGTCTAATTTTTATGTATGAACTTTGCATCTTACCATGGAATTACAAGGTTCATGTGAAATTTAATGAATTTGAGGTGATAGTTTTGCTGAGTGCCTCTGTCTTTGTCTACTGTCCATACTTAATGGAAATTATATTTCTAATTTTAAATTTAAAAGCAGTATTTGCTGTGGTTTTTCCTTTCTCTAAAAAAAAATCCTCACAGATAATTACGCACACAGTTCCCCATTTCTAATCATACCTTAACATACAGTACTGAAACTTTTTTAACAAGCAGGACAGTATACTGAATTGCACTGAAATTTAGGCCACTGTAGAAAATTTTTACCAACATTTTACTAACTTTTCCAGAGTCGCAAGCAGCGTGACGAAATAGGGAAGCTATGGAGAGAGGGCTCATCTGCTTAGAGAGTGAACAAACTGAAAGAATGCGTGTCTATCTAATCTCCCATCAGTTACAGGAAACTTAACGTATGACTTGCATGCAGAAGTTTGCAGACAGACAGCCAACACCCCGTTTTATAGAGGCTCTCGGGAGTGTAGGAGAGAAGGCTGCGTGCTGCAGGAGTGTTTCTGGCACAAAGAGCCATCCCCTTCTGATAGGGAGGCTCCTCGGTGTCTCCGTAGATACCTGCTAGCTGTGAGATGGGCACGGAGCCCTAGGCTGGCAGGCTTCCATGGCCTGGCCTCTAACACACTCTCTCTGTTCCTGTGCTTGGGGAAAAAAAAGTTGTTGGGACTGAGAAACACTTTATTGCAGTGATGTTTATTTGTCAGCTCTTGGATGTGCTTCTTCCAGCAGCAAACCCTGGGGTCTGAGGAAGCACAGGATTACTGTGGGTTGTCACTGTCCTGCACAGTAAAGGAGTACTCCCAGCATGTGCGGCAGGCCCCCTCCCACTGCTATTGAGAAAAAAAAAAAAAATCTGCTACAGATACGGAGCTGGACTCTCAGCATGTCACCAACTGTAGATGCTGACAAAATACGTGATTTATTCAGGTAGGCAAATTAAAGACTGCAGATTTTTGGTACCATCATGCAGTTTCTAATAGAGGTAGGTAAAAAGACGTATGTGGAAGTAAATGATCCATTTTATGAAAGAGCATCTAGCGCAGCTTTTAATAGGAAATTTTTAGCATATTCTATTTAGGGATTCTTTCTGCTGTCATGAAATACTGCTAGGTAGCTGTGGAATTCTACCTTTCAGTTTGTATTTCTGGGGAGCTGTGAAAAATACAATGTTACAAGTGTCCTGTTGTAGTTAGGGGGCTCTTTGCAACAGAAAGCTTTGTCCTGAAACTCCAGGGACAATTCTCTAATGGTGATAATATACCTGTATTATGGACAACTTAAAATGCAGTGAATATCTCATTCTTTTTCATTAAAATGATTCCTCAAAGTAGGACTACTGCTAGCATATGTTTGGTGTAAGCAGACAGACAGACTTGACTTCTCAGATCATGCTATTAAGTGAAATGTCATGTCTTAAAATAAAGGAATTTTTAAATCAACCATAGTAGAGCCATAGACTTACTGCTCTTTCTAAATTCTCCCCCCAGTATGAGTGTGAAAGTATGGAACAACTGTTTGAAAACTGTGATCTTACCATTACTGACACAGTATCTACAACTTGTATTCTTGCTCAGACAGTTCTGAGACTGCATAGATCTTAAGTGAAACCTCTAAAATTGAAGTTCTGAGCATGTAGTAGACCTCAGTGTTGAATTGCTTAGGAGTTCCTGGATCTTGAAAAAAGTTAATTCACTGTCTCAACGATCTCTTGTATTGCCAAATAAGTATTGGTGGAATGTTCTTTGGACCTTGGTCTGTGCCCCCTAATTGTCTGACATTGTTCTTCAGTATTGTATTGTTCTGTGAGGCCGAGGGAGGAATCTCATAGCTCCACGCAGTGACTCAGCAGTGCTGCCAGCTCAGCAGATGAGAAAGAAAACAGAAGTGTAACTGTGGTCTCCTGCAGAAATTGCAAGGTGTCATATAAATTAGAATTTTTTTATTTCACATGTTGTCAAAGAAGATAATGATTATTTGCACGAAAGCAAAGATACTATCATCAAACAAACTTGAAACTGCTGTCTTCCTATTGCTAGTAGAGCACCTTGCTTGGTTGTTGATTTAAGTTCCCTTGCTACTCAGATAGGAAATCCTGCATCTGCAAGGAGAGTAATCTCTGTGGCATGTTTCCCAAATAAGATACTTGATCTAAGCAGTAAATAAAGTTGTGATAAGCTTTGTTGATAAATGGGAACGTTTTACCCCAGCCATTAGTCACTTATTTGCATTAAGTCTCTAAGCAAAACATACTGCAAAAGGAATAGTTTACCCTCACTTGAATAGGATAATACTGGCCTTTATTTAAAGATTATTTGAAAAATGGGTTGGAAAGAAGTACTTACTGTATGGGTACCTTACTGAATGTTAAGTGTTTTCAGTCACTTATCAAATACAAGATACAGTAATATAAATTAGATATGAGTAGTTCATCGACCCTTTTTTTTTTTTTTTTTTTTTTTTTTTCCCC